GCTGTACATAGGGCTACATAGATATTTCTCAAGGCCAATTTTTTTCTGAAATATATATGCAAATACAATATTGACCCTTTTTTTGGATTCATTATCCTGATGTTCTAAAACACTATGCTCTTTGTTTTGACTTTAATAATGTTGTTTGGTGAGAGTGAGCTAGAAATTGCTTCAGGTGGGATTGCTTGTGTATTTCACTCAGTCAGATTATTATTTGTGTTGTGGTGGGTTTTGACGTACATGACTAATTTTCATTTTTCAGATAGAGGACAAGCTAAACGTACCGTGCTGCTCTCTAATATAAGCCATATAGACCACTGAGCTAGTTATACACCTGATGCATTACAGTACATCAAAATGATGACTCCACAGCCTTGGGTAATCTCATTGTATAATCTGCTAAACTCTTGCTATTTGTCTATGGCTTTTGGAAGATTAGCTTGTGTATGATATGAACTCGTATGCCTATACTCTCCGCTGTCAGTCATCTTTGGCTTATGCTTCATCAGACAGCATCTAATGGCTTATAAACCAAACTGCCGAGAGAATTTCCATTCTTTTAGGCTAAGAGGCCAATCATTTTGGCTTCGTACACATGGGATTCTTGTAAAGTTAAATGAGACGATATGTCTTTTTTTATATATATGAAGACAATTCCCCTCAAAGAAGCATTGAGTCTACTCCCTGCCACGTGCTGGATGTTTTTTTACGAGAAGCAACTCGGCTTTAAGGAAAAAAATTCACAGAGACGACACAAAAGTCTTAACTGATTCTTTGTCTTCTATTTGCTGCGTGTCAGAAGACGTGTGTTAAAACGGTTCCTGTGATTGGCCACGCGTGCTTCCTTTGTCAGAACCAGAGCTTCCTTCATCGCTGCAGACCAGGGTAACTCTGTGATCTCAGAAGAAGAGAGAGGGTGAGGGAGAGAGCAGATTTTTTGTTGTCGAGCTCAACGTGATGTGTTCTCACAACTGCTTTGTGAGAAGTTGACAGTTGTTGCTTTAATCTGTTTTTTTTTGTTTTTTTTAAAGTCCATTCTCTGTCACTGGGGCTTTATTCCAACTCTTCGCTGTCAGTGATCATCAGCTGTGATTCACTGACAGTCTGGGTTGTACACAGTTGATTTGCATAGCACAGATAGTTTTTTTGGGGGGGGTTCTATATTGATGAAATCTCAGTCCCACAATGTCCCTGCTGCGATTGAACTTTGCAGAGTCGAGTCTCGAGCGTCTTTAGGCAGTACCACTCATATGTATAGTATGTTAGTTTGATGAGGGGTATGATGTGCTTGGTTACTGAACACTGACTTTTGAAGATTTGAATATTCTCCATGTTGATTTTTCTCCGAGTACATACTTCTGTATGTCGACATTGGTTTGAGTATGTTCTATTTTCTTTTCTTTCTTTTTTTGAGATAGTGATGCAGTGTTGATTCGTGTATTAATACAGTGGGAGCAGCGTGCCCGCCATACAGTGACAGGATAGAAAAAAGAGGAGTTGCTCTTAGGGGGGGTTGAAAAGCAAACAGGAAAGAGTGTTGAGGATGCATCATAAAGCTGCTGATTGGAAAAAGTACATTTGTGAGGTGCTGGGGGAATCCTGACCCATAAGATGGGAATTCCCTGTTTCCTTTTTTGACTGAAAATGTAATTAAATGTTTTGGGGACATTTTCCCCAACTAAATACTTTAATGAATCTAAATATGGTACATTCCTGCAGTTTCCTGTTTGTTTTCTTTCACCCTGGTCGGCTGCTCAACCTCCATGAATTCATCTCTGCATCGTGTTTGTGAAAATACTGGAACTTGAAAACCATATGTCAGTGGAAATCTACACTACAAATGAGATGGATCTATCCGTGAGGAGATTTCCTCAAAATCGGCAACTTAACAACAGTAACAATGCCTGCAGCAACTCATGGTACACTATCACCAGCAAGCTTTACAGTTTATCATGCTAGTAGACATGTTTTTTGTATAACCGTTGCCATTACAAATCCTGTCTGTAGAAACATGTATGATATCATTCATAGGGATCAGTCTGCTATCTCCCATCTTTATTTTTATTATCCTTATTATTATGATTATTTTGTTCCTCCCATTAGGACAGGGATTGTAATGGAATCAATTTAATGTAGTTCTTACAAAAAAGGAGTGTCCACAATGGATGTACACCATAATCTACCTAAAATACCTACCTCTCTTAGCTCAGATTTTTTTCAGCATTAAGCATTTGCCTCTGTTTTTACTTTTGTAATATTTGTATTCATGTTGGTATTTATTGCTGTCTAATGAGTCATACTTCAATGATTACCTCAGAGATATCTCAGATTTTGGGAGAGTCCAGCTAATGAAGTCATTCTGTTTTGGTTTTTTTTGTATATTTTTTTTCTTCTCAGACTTAACATTGCCTTTTTTTTTAACGCACAAAATACCAGGAGTGTTTTTTAATATAGTGCCTGCACTCTGACCAACAGGGCTCAGACTGGCTAGGCTGAGGCTGCATTAACTCCAGAAATGACGTCCTTCTCTGCATTTTTGTCCTTCTGCTCTGTCTTTGGGATATCTATGTAGTGTTCAGCAACAGAAGTCATTAATCTCGTTGCTGTGCTCCTCTACTCAGTCGTACTTGCTCCGAAAGCTCTCCTGTTTGCCCTTAAGAACTAAAAAGATAAGGTAGATGTCCGTGTAGTTACTAAGGGCAAATGGAACAGGAATGAATGCGGCTGCGTGGAGGAAACAACCTGAAAGACTTTGTGGCAGCAGGAGAAATGAGAGGTGTGTTCGCGCTTCACTCGGTACTGTTAGCGTGCTCTTTTTCTCTGTAGATCCTTACCCTCGCCTCTCTTATTTCCTTTGTGCCCTCTCTGTGTCTTCACCTCTCCTCCTGTCCTAAAGTCTGCTCCCACACCTTCATCATTCCCTGCCAATGTTTGGTCAAACGAGGGGGAATTAGGAGGTGGGTGAACTCCTCAGTATCCATGCAATGCTGCTTTTATTATCATGAGCATCACCAAGTCATGTGTTATTTGACACTTCGTGATGTGGGAATCATCCAAAGGTCGGCAGCCCCTCCCACCAGTGATGGCGGCGCAACCAACCTCATTGGAAGATCGTGTCTTTTGAAACATATGCACGTACAAAACGTAACTTAGTGATGCTTACTAGGGGGAAAATCAAATTCCATTCAGATCCGAGTTTCATTTTAACAGAGCAACTACTCACTTTGGTGAATATAAAACCTTTTTCTTTGTATTAATGTCAAACTGCTTCAGGTAAACACTGAATGAAATTAGAGTTTTATTGATCAGTGAATACTACGGAACAATGTGGCCATGGTCACATCGACCCTGAGCTGTGTGCCATAATATGACCCTTCTAATGCAAGGGAGGGTGTTTAGTGAAGCTGGCTTCAAATGTTCCCCAGCTCAATTTGAATGGGGGGGTTGTCTGAGTGTGAGATTGGCTTCTAACTTAGTACTCTGTCAGACGTGTATTGATTTTATTTTTTTAAATAACTAAAGAATAAAATTTGAATTTGGCATTGTATTTTAACCTTGCGTTGTGAATCCAAATCATGCCACATTCAATTAAAAGAAATGCCTGAACCAACAAAAGCACTTAATGTAATGTTTGTAACACATGCATACTGATGAATCTACTAGCCGTACACTGCCTGTGTATAGGTCAGCATGATATGGCTGCAATTATCATAAATAAAGTCACCTAAATTCTAATGTAATTGCAATTTATCTTTTGTCTCGTTTTTTTCTTCAAAGATCTTCTTTTTTCTATTATAAATTGGTGTTTATGTAATGTTATTTTTGTCAGATGTTTTGCAAATCAAAAATAAACAGTTGTACATAGCAGTGAGCTTCTGTGTGTTTTCTTTTTACCTTTAATTCAGTATAATCTATTTTCCAGACGTGATGATCAAATGTTCCTTTTTGTCATTCATTGGCAC